ACAAATATTTCAATCGATCGCTCAGGCATGGCACCGAAATGAGGCACCAAAATCTGCGTTCGGATTCCGTTCTAGTACATACCAGTTACATAGGTACCGGTGCCATATTGGTACCGGGTTTCGGTACTCAACCCTAAAACGAATAGAGTGCAAGTCTAAAAGGGGCAAGTGTTTTTTTTTTTTAAGAATAGAATTAGAATAGAGAGTGCTAGAGTTAGAGGGTCAAATAAAGATGGAATAGATGTGTTTTTAGCCGATTCTTGAAGATGGACTGCTCGGACTGAGTTGGGCATGTCATTCCACCAGGAGGTAACATTTAATTTAAAAGTCCGTGAAAGTGATTTTGTGCTTCTTTGGGATGGCACAATAAAGTGACGTTCACTTGCAGAAAGCAAGCTTCTAGAGGACACATAACTCTGAAGTAATGAATTTAGGTAAATGGGTGCAGAGCCAGTGGTGGTTTTGTAGGCAAACATTAATGCCTTGAATTTTATGCGAGCAGCTATTGGTAGCCAGTGCAAATTGATGAACAGAGGTGTGACGTGCATTCTTTTTGGCTCCTTAAAAATGTATCTTACTGCCACGTTCTGGATTAATTGTAAAGGTTTGATAGAAGTGGCTGGAAGACCTGCCAAGAGAGCATTGCAATAGTCCAGCCTGGACAGAACAAGAGCTTGAGCAAGGAGTTGTGAAGCATTTTCCGAAAGAAAGGATGTTAGACAAGCTGAGATGCGAGCAGCTATCGTCGGATCATCAGGATGGAATGAGAGGTAGAGTTGAGTGTCTCAACATATATATATGTATATATATATATATTAGCCGATTAAAATTTTTAATTCATTCAATTTCATTGTATGGAAAAGGGCAGCATTAACATTCTGCTAAACTTCTCTTTTTGGTTTCACAGAAGAGAGTAAGTTATAAAGACTCTGATAAAGAGATAAGTTTAACTATTTCTTTAAGAAAGATAAAATATTTTTCAATATATGCCAAATATTTTTGAAAGCTGCGGTAGAGGGGAAGCTTTTCAGTGAATAACAACATAAATTAATTTGATATTAATTTGAAAAGGATGTGTCGATTAATTAATCTAATCGAAAATTACATTTGGTTGTGAAAATTCCCCCAAAAGATTATTAAATGCTTTTTTTGTGTTAAATGAGAAAGTATTAAGTAGACATTACAAATAGTAGCTTTAGAAAAAAATATTTTATTTGATTCAACATAAAATGTAATACACCTAAATGTTTAGCCTACAATGGCCTAACATAAACTAACATAAAAGAATATAATTTGAGAAACATGTCGTTCATGCAGTGGAAGTCATTGGTAACCAAAACAGCTGTGTTACCAACAGTCTTCAACAGTCCTTTTGTCCCACAAAAGAAAGTAAGTCATTCAGTAGTTAAAATGATGTTTTTTGGGTGGGTTTTTTCTCCCTTTTTTTAAATGAAACAATACTCTAAATAAGAAACTAAATCTGCCAGCAGGTGGCGGTAAATGTCTTTATGAGTCTTTCATTCGAATCGTTCAAATGGCTGATTCATTCAGGAATTAAGTAAATTACTCTCTTTATGAATGGGCCTTTGAATCATTGCACTCGTTATATTCGAGATAAAAACAGCACTCGAGTGATTCTGAACTGTTGTATAAAATCACATGTGCACTTGTTCTTCGTGACAAAAACAGCCCTCGTGTGATATTGCTCTTGCTGCTGGTGTGATATTGCTTATCATATGATATAAATATGAGACAAAACCTCATACAGGAGCATTTTTTGCCCAAATATCTTGAATTTTAGGGCATAACTGCATTTATGGAGTTGTTGACCTGCATCATATTTGTCAACAGTCAACTATATATGAAATGTAAGATGATGTACAGGTTTGGGGCGGGGCCAGTGCGTTAACTGTGTTAAAATATTTTAATCGCATTATTGTTCATTACTAATTAATTAAGTTAACGCATTAAACTGACAGCTCTCTCTTTCGCTCTCTCTCTCTCTCTATATATATATATATATATATATATATATATATATATATATATTGCTTTGTGTATAGCTTTGTGTGAAAAAAAAAATACAATTTAAGTTGTTATTCAGTAAAAATCTTCCCCTCCGCTGCAGCTCTTGAAAAAAATCTTGTTTTTTTTTAAAAGAAAAGGTCCTAAATTAAAATTCTTTTTTTTTTTCTATGAATATTTATAAGTTACTTTCTTCGGTGAAACACAAAAGGAGTAATTTAGCAGAATGTTAACGCCTTTTCCATGCAATGAAAGTTAATGGTGACCAAAAAGCATCACAAAAGTAGTCAACAGTGAATAATGACAGAATTTTCAACTTATGTTTGGGTGTTTAATGCTCTCATTTCCGCCTCTTCTTTATCCTAAAGTTATTCCAAAATAAAGATAAAACAAATGAATTAATGAATAAACAGTGCCTACAACCGTATAATGTTATTTATTGCCTGTAAAACTATACTGTGGGTAATAGTTGGCCCATAATGATCTCCTCTGATAAAAGCAGTCATGAGAACACAGAGAAAGATCCTGATAAAAGATAATTGTCTTTCAAGGGAGGCGTATTAAAATATGAGATGCTTGTTATTATTTGGAAATGGGGGCAAGCTTGTTGAATGCCTTAATATGAGAATATCCCCTAATACATATGTTTAAAATGTATAATTTTAGATGCAAACCTAGAGTAACTGTTTTTCTTTTGCTTCAACGGATATTAATGAGGAAGGGATTTGGCCGGGGACGAGCAGCAATAAATCAACTCAGCAAGATTAGAGACCTTAAACACCGCAATTCTTTCAGATATTTGCACATTTGAGGTTTCGCCACAAGGCAGAGGCCCAAATTAAGATCTTGCTGGAAACAAGCAGCACCTGAGGCTCAGAGACTTATGGTTTTGTAGGAACGCCAACACAATACAGTTATGTTTTTATTAACATTTTAAGATGAATGCCATTTGTAGAATATATATATA